ACAGCACCGTTAAGGTGAATTATGGAGAAATTAACGGAATATACACGTACGTGCCCAAATATATTTTTTTCTAAACAGAATTTATTTCTGTAAATCTTTTTCAGAATCACAAATATTTACTATTACTTAAAATAATAAATAAATATTGCATGCATTTGAGTGTTACATTGAAAAATTTCACTCCAAGAAAAGCATTGTCAACTTCGGCTGCGCCTCGGTTGACAATGGTTTTCGAGGGGTGAAAATTTTCAATGTTACACTCAACTACATGCAATATTTATTATATTATACTGAATGTTTTATACAAATACATATAACAGTGAACCCTAAGCGCATAAATTCTGCGCAGTCACTATTTTTGGAATATCACCCGTCTTCAAGCAATGTTGACTGTTGCTATGCTTGAGGACGTGGCTTCATTATTCGGCGGGTAATAGTGTATTTTAACACATGTTTTTCGACGAATCAGATTCAACTAATTTACATGAAAGTGTAATATTATACAATTAATTACCCCTTATGCGGTCAACATGGTAAAATAAGGACCCTCGTCCTGGCCCACGAGGTGACCTGACCTGACCGAGGCCGCGTAGCGGCCGAGGTCAGGTCAGGTCAGCGAGTGGGCCAGGTCGAGGGTCCTTATTTTACCATGTTGAACTCATAAGGGGTAATCAATTGTTTTATTATACCGATATAAGTTAAGGCAATTTTTGTAAGCTTAATTACTAAAATAATCAATTACATGTATAAGACCTACGAACTGTTATCAGTGTTCCATCGGGATCGGGATTCGCTAGTGAAGTTGTTTACTTTTCGGCTGCTAGTCTTGTAAGTTTTTGCACCGCCGATTTATTAAAACACTCTGTGATTGTCAGTAACATTGCATTCTTATAAATTCACAGATACCATTCCCGACTACAATGACAATCTGGTGCAGACTTTTACTGTACAAGAGAGCCGAGTCTGCGTTCGTTGAATTTGACATTGTATTGTAACGAAAGCTAATTTCAATGAAAACGATAAATGTTATGACGCATCTAAGGGCCAATCGTGTTCCGTATCCTAAAAATACTATAGATATTTTTATAACGGCAATTTTTGTAGTGTACAATCATTACTGTATGCATATTTTTTTGAATGGAATTTGGATTAACAGGTCATTTTTAGCGGTCATTAATTTTATTGACCGGTCATTATACTCCACGTGCAATGATTCCTAGGTCATTATTGCTGTAAACGGTACTTTTTGGAGTCATTATTGAGTTTAAAAGCCTTCTAACAAGCCAATCAAATTTGAGTATTCTTAATAGAGGTATAATAACACAATATATTCAATGCTGTATTGAATTTAGTTTGGTCACCTGATCTGTCAGTCACGTGATATATGACAATAATCTGCATACAGGTCATACACAAATTGAAATATCGCAAAAACATATACTAATTCTAATTTAACTTTAAATTTATAAATTAATTCTTTATATATTATGTTTCAGGAAAGTAATTCTGCTGAAAAGGAATTTGTATTTCATTAGTCAAAATTTTAAGTAATGGGGCTCGATAAAGTCGAAATTTATGTGCCTTTTACAAAGTATTTTATGTAATTCTTGAGTTGCGTACTCGATTTCACGACAGCAGGATCACTTTTCAAGTTAAGGAAAAAATCCTTTGACTTAAAAAAAATGATAACGATCTATATCACGTTCATGCGAAAATGCGATTTAACGAGGCACCACAATGTTAATTCTGTCATTCCTACAAACAAACATTGAATAATATAGCTTCACTACACTCTAACCATAAAATAATAATAAATAATGGTACTAAACAATGATTACGCATAATGTATGGTCTTTTAAACATCAGTAAAAAATATTCTATTTAATTTTAAATGCATTTTTCACTGTGAAAAAAATTACTTGATCCGCCTCCCATTGCAGATAAAGTGCATCAAATTGTGCCGGAATGACGACACATTGACAAGTGCATTGCGATCAGTTCCTTGTTTAGACCTTTCTGTATGGTATTTAACCAACTGTAGATAAGAATGCAGTGATAAGTTTTGGTGTGGTTTATTAGTCATATACAGTTTACATGCAATTGTTAAGTATTTCATTTTCTGGTAAAATGAAGAATTGTCATTTTTGCCTCATGTCAATGTTATCACTTCCAAGGCCCGCCAACTTTATCAAGCCTTTACGGAGCTGAGAAGTAAGTATATATATCTAAAGAATACTTTGTCTTCTTTAAATTCAATTTTTAGATAAAGTTTTTGATAGACAAGTGATTTGAGGTACGTGGCTGATTGGAGCACTTTCTTTGAAAAAAAAATTCACTCAACTTTAAACAGTATATTTAGATAATGGCGTGAAAAACTAATAACATTTCTCATTCAAAACATGTTTGAAAGATAACATATTAAAATGAAACATACTGAAAAAAAAATTACATATTTAAATTGTTTACAGAAACAGTTAATATTCTTCGAGTAATCCCAGTACATATGCATGTAAAACTGGAAGGGAAAAAATATTTGTTGATTACACACACAGATCTTAATATAAATAAAACACAGGGTGTTCCATTTAATTTCATTGGCATTAACTATGCAAGCAAGATATATACCAAAGTACGTTACATAGCAATTTCGTTCATAAGATATAGGGTAAAAGTACAGCTTAGAAACATATTTCTTTTGAACCAAACTTTTGATATTTGCATTTACACATCTATAAAAAAAAAATCAAATGTTTAAAATCTTGACATTTAAAACAGTAATATGTAGATCACCGAAACCATCTCAAATAAATGAATGATAATTTACACTCACAAATTATAATGTTAATCTTTGAAAAGCTTCAGAGTTCATACAGCATAAGTCAGTTTATCAAGGAGTATTATAGCTTCCTGATTGCAATAATGCCTACCGTGACAAATACCTTTTAATCGGTAATGAGTTTTTTCGGACATAACAAAGAACATGGATGGACGTTTAAGACAATAAGATGTAGCTACAAAGGCAAATGGAGATGTCCAGCTAAAACACATATTGTCCATTCGAGAAGAATAGTCTTTAGTTTGTAGCATTTGAACTAAACTAAATGCTTTCGCAGCAAATGCACGTTCCATTGTTTCATAACTATATAAGAAAAAGAAAGAAAAAAAAAAAAAAAAAAAAAGATGGTAAAATGTAATCTGTGAAGAGCGTATTTTGCATAATTAAATTTATTTGATTACATTTTTTTTGCATGATTCTTTAGATACTATTTTATAGAAAACTTGGCGATTATATTTGCTCAAAACAGAGCTCATACGAGGGGCAATTGAAAAGTTCTGAGAACTGCTTGCTAAAATATTAACCGTTTAACGGAAATTACTGAGTTTGATATCATTGGACAGATCACAAAAATAAACATATATTGTGACGTCACTTTGTAATTTTTATTACGTAATAACTCCGAAAATGACGTCAGAATCTCGAATGTCTAGCATACTGACCACAAAAATGACGTAACAAGAGACACAATTTCAGAGAAGAAAAATTTTAAAGTCAGCTTTTGTTCATAACTCGTGAGCATGCTAACGGACACAACTACCAGTTGGAAGAATGTTTACGTAGACTACAGTCTATCATATGGAGGTCATATTCAGGAGCTCCTACAAATCTGAGGTTGTTTAAGAGTGTGTCAAACATAGCATGTTAATAACGAATCTCGCGCAAAATATTGGGTAAAAAAGACGATGCTGTGAGAAAAACACAAAGTTTACAATCACAGGAGAATAGTGGACGGTGGTACAAAATTTACTGGCATTAATTCGTCAGGTATTTTAACCAGTTTTGCGGGAACGATTAAATTTCAAGAGAGGTTAAGCTAAGGGTGTCCCATATTTTCTCGTAAAAACCAAAATGGCGCCGGTGTAGTTCTAACCCCATGCACAGTAACTCGATATGTTCGAAAATTTTAAATCATGGAAAAATAAATAAGATTGTACATGGCAATGAAACTCAGAATTATTTTTTTGAGTCGAAAGTCACAAGCAATAGTGAGTTTTGGATTGCCGAAGTTGAAATAATATGAAAAAATACGCATTTTGTTTCCTAGTATATGTATTTTTTTCAACAGAAGATGAAACTCAAAAGCCTACATCTTATGTCATTTTAGGATATTTATGACACATCTTAGTTGACTTTCTACAGCTTGAGTATCTCTGACGTTTTGTCGGTCAATGCTTGCACCAATGAACCACGTACTTAATTTAAAACAATCCATTTACAAAATTATAGTAAATCATTTTTTTAAAATTATAATTAATTTTAATACATATAATTTTAAATTATAATGTATAGAAGATTAGATCCGGATACTGAATACGCTAATTTATAAATAAATACGATGTACAGATTTTTAGCGAGGTTTGCCAATGATTGGTGAGTTCTAATTCAAAGATGGCGAATTGTCCTAAAGGCAAATTATCTTAGGGGAGAACCGTCTAAAGCATTCTGGCGCACGCGTATCCTGACGTAAGCCCATGGCATCCAGTTTTACCCCACTTATATATTTTCTGCGTGGACCTCCGGATCCATGCAATGATGTATTAAGCCCCAAGAGCTTGTAAGTAAAACTTGTATGTGTATGTTGGAGCAGGTTCCATCCATCCATACTTCAGATTTCGGCTGTAATGGTGAGGCAACCCAGTGCCTTGAATCCACCCTCACGGTGTTAAGTAGAGAGGAGCCCTTGGGACCTAGAGTTTATACTCCAGCCAGCGAGATGAACAAAGTCAAAGGCGGGACCGGGCGTTAGGACAAACAAAAAAACAATGAATTGTCATTTTGTATATTGAACATGTTGCATTAAATCTGTAAATTATAGAACAAATCATTTGAGTTGTATTTAGATTCAGTAAAGTTATAAATCCGATCGACTATCTGTGAAAAAAGGTAATGGTAAAAAGAAGAATTGAAGTGTTATGGTTTTCTTATTTTTTCGTAAAATACATCACTCTAGATATTTGATGATTTGAATTTTTCCAGTATTTTTGTCTCCAATAACAAGATTGTGGTCAGTATCAATACTCAGTCCACCATTACACGGATGCTCAATATAACGGACAAAGTTACCATCACAGTCTATAATGTGGACAATGCTATTGTCACTTATCAGTATATTAGTATTGACATCTGCAGCAATTTTAGATGGTGTGAATTTTGTGAACTTTGTTTTTGTGAGGAGGTTCCCTTCATACTTGAATCGTAATCTACCAGAAGAATCCACCACAACAACTGCATTCCCAGCATAGTCAGCAACACAGATATCTCCATTGCCATTCTCAGTCAAGAGAAGTACAATTTCAGCACCAATAGAAAACAAAGGTTTTCCCTGACAATCAAATTGAATTTTCTGAATTTCTGCGATTCCTGAGTACTTCACTATTCTACTCTGTTTCCTATCCTTAGAACGAACGCTTACTAGTAGATCTCCATTCCCTGTATAACATAAACCAACAGGAAGCCAATCAGGTATGCTATATAATACCCTAAGTTCACTGTTATTAAAAATGTAGATCTCTTTATAAACCCAGGTAATTGAAGAAAACACTGGTTCCTGTCGCAGATTGATGGTCAATACTCTAACATCATCGTTCGTTTGAATTGTTTGTATAATGCATCCAGTGCTGTCTATCTCTTTTATTGTTTTATCATTTCCACTTATCAATATCTTATCTCTTCCCCTACACTGCAATCTCCACAACTCATGCGTACTACCATAAGGACTTTGAATGGTGCTTATAACAGCAGGATATTTAATCATTCTCAGTGATCCAGGTCTTTTCTTCACTTCATCCTCAGTCTGGAGAAAACCATACATTTTGAGAATTTGGTCTTCATTAATATAACCAGAGAACAACTGTGGATAAGAAACTCTTGGTAACTCTGGACCGACTTTGAAGTCTTCATTTCTCGACTTATAATTTATTATGACTGAAGCATCATTGCTTTTAAGAATATCTTTGTTCTTCTTAATGACTTCATTAAGTTTTTTTTCAGCTTTATCGTTCAAAGACTGAATTTCTCTGCTCTTTCTCACTGCTACATCTCTCTGTTTGGAAACTTCGTCTTTGAGTTGAATGCCAGCTTCATGCACAGCTTTGCAAATCTTACCCTCTTGTTCTTCTATGGCAGCGACAACTTTGTCATACTCTGCAGCCGTTGTAGTTGGGTGGACGTTTCTATATTTTGGAACCATGGCATTTTCCAGTTCTTCTGTGTCGGCTATAATTTGCTGTTTCTGTTTTTTAAGAATATCATTGATATCTGTAAATTCATGTTTTCTGTGTAAACCCAACACACACTGAATACATATTGGTATTTTACAGTCTTGGCAGTATGTTTCACATCTTTTATTCTCATGCTTTGAACATCTTGGAAGAACAATAGTTTCTTCTTTTCTGGAAGTGTAACCAACAACTTCATGTTCCCTAGATTTGTCTGCCATGTGTTTTGCTATGCAGGAAGGACAGAGGTCCACATGACAAAAGTTGCAGTGTTGTTCAACAGGGTTTGGACACAATTGACAGCAAACGATGTCCTGTCCCTGGGCGGTAGCCATGTCTATTGTAAGCTGTAATACAGTGTAAAAAGAATCATATAATGATAAGTAAATGTATATATTTACACAAATAGAAAATTATTCTTTTTCTCTACAACGATATTTAGTTGTATGATTTGTATATAGCTCTGATCCTACGACCTATTAACATAAGTCTTTGGCTCCCTTTTTACCAGCTTTTCAAAGTTTCTATTTAATATGTCGTATTACAACGCTTAGGTATGAGCATCACTGAAGAGACATGATTTTTCGAAATGCGCGCCTGGTACCGTATTGGCACCGTATATTTTCTACTCCCTTTTGGTCAATCTAGGCAATCCATTTACAAGTATTTTTAAGGTACATACGTTTTGCCTATTATTTAATATACCTTGTTGAGATTTGTCACCAAAAGGGAGTAGTTGATTAATAGAGAAGTACCAATATTTTACGAACGAACGTAACTCACTCTAACTTACCGTATTTCGGTAGATTTTCCAGGACCAGTTATTGCAGCTAGTTTAAAATCGGAACAATTAAATAGATATGTGTAATAGAACGAGTGGTGTTTTAAATCACTTTCAAAATGAAAATTTCCCTTTCTAATTTTCTGTAATCACTTCAAGAGTCTAAAATGTAATTAAAAGCGGACAAAAAGAAAAAAAAATAAGGCAGATTACCTGAGACGGATTAGGAAACACGTTTATCATGTGTCAGTGATTATACATATATAAATATATATTTCATTTTGGAAAATTAGCTTTCATAGCATGAAAAAAATCAATTCACAGCCTGTATATATCTGGCAAAGGCAACAAGTCACTAGGTGATACGCTTATAAAGTGTCTTGTATTAAGTGTACATGTGTGTGTGTGTGTGTGTGTGTGTGTAAGGGTGTGTGTGTGTGTGTGTGTGTGAGAGAGAGAGAGAGAGAGAGAGAGAGAGAGAGAGAGAGAGAGAGAGTACAATGAACAATAAATGTTGTAATGAATTAGCATAGTTTATCAAAGTTTTAGAAATAAACCATTAAGATACAGAAAAAGGGGTGGCACTTCTTTGGAAAATGTAATCTTTTTAAAAGTGGACGCGCGTAGATGTGTGTTCGGCTAGGAGAAGGGGGAGGTCTAAGCTCAGTTCATCAAATAAAATATCCTTATTCGGTATATTTAACATCTAATACATATAATACTAATTCCCATATACTACAGTCCTTTAAAAAGTGGAAAGGGGCAATACATGCATAAATGCAATAGGTCGGGATTTTTTTTTTTTTTTTTTTTTTTTTTTTTTTTTTTTTTTTTTGATTATTAATTTTTCATTGTCAACACTGCAATGAATTGTTCAACGTGATTTTTTCACTTTTATTGTATATATTACAGGGACCTCATTTTTCCTTTATTCTCTAGTCTGATGACTATTTCATGATATCTGTTTTTTTTTTTTTTTTTTTTTTTTTTTTTACAACTTATTAGCAATTAAGTTCTGAGGAAGTTCAGGGATTCAAAATGAACACAAACTATGATAATCAAGATTGCTTTTATGTGTATATTTGTTTGGGTTTTTTTTTTTCTCCATTTTCCCCCATAGGTTTAGTTGTATTTTTTTAAAACTATGTTATATATTGCTAAGTTCTTAAGGCACATTGCCTTTTAGAACTGCCAAGCATTCTTTTTCTGTGGTATTGAACTTCCTCTGATCTTAACTGAGATACTTTACTCCATAGGATACAACATATTCTCGATTATTATCATCTACTTAGCCCACCACATACCCAGTGGCATTGTCAGAGGCGTCATATGTCAGTATGTTTCTTGAGAAGGGAAAACTCACTTTCTGCACTGGAATTGTCAGGGTCAACTTGTACTACCTTATATGATATAATGTGCCTTAAGAACTTAGCAAAGTGACATTTTGATGGCTGCAGTTTCCAATTTGCCTCTCTCAGACGATCAAGCACCTCTGCTAAGTATTTTAAATGTTCAACAAATGCAAATTCTAGCTAAAAGATTAAAACATCGTCCACGTACACAAGTATTGATTTCCAATTTAACCCTCTCAGTACATTAAACATAAGCGTTTGAAATGAAATGGAGGAATTATTAAGACCAAATGGAATACGTTTTCACTCATACACTCCTTCTTTTGTAATGAAAACGGTTTCTCTCTGCTTTCCGAATCCAACTCTATTTACCAGAATCCACACAATAGATCTAAACTAGTAAAATAATTTGCTCGTGCCTAACCGATGGCATCAAAAAATTCTAAATATGGAAGTTGAAAAAACATGGACACTGTAATTTTGTTTAAAGCACGATAATCACAAGCAAACCGAAATTGGCAATTCCTTTTCTTTACCAAAACCATTGGCGAATGCCATTTCCAATGTGATATTTGTATGATATCATGATTTTATATTTACAAAACTTGTTTTTGAATTTCTATTGGAGCTTGAGATGATGTTTTGTAAAATTGTTGTCGAACAAGCCTTGAATTTGTTTTAATTAAATTTTATACTTGTGAGCACCTTTCCTTCCCAGTTCGCTGAGGTCAACTGCAAAGATGCTTCTATGTGTTGCTTAAAATTTCAGTAAACCTCTTTTTGATTTGGATCTAAATCTTTATTTTCTAAATCAAATGAAATCTCACTTGGATTTTGACTTTCTTTATTGTCTCGATTCAAAGCATTAACACATGTGATCTCATTTTTTAAGGCATACACTTTTCGAGTTTGCCACAAAAATAACAACTTGACATTTAAACCTTTTGAACGTTACAATTGAAAACGTCGCATAACTCATTGGACAGTTGTGACAGGAATCTCTGCACTGTTTGGCCTATTCTGGTGATGGCTTTTTATTGCGTTATAATCAAATATTAGGGTAATATGGTAATGTATGAAAATTTTTTGTTGTAAAATCATATCAAGTTTGGCAAATCCCCCAATCCTTTTTATTTGTCGGAGTTTTTTTTCGAGGGAAATGGTGGCTATCAGCACTCCCAGGGATAGGCTAGACAAGAGCCCAAATACCAGGGACCTAGACCCATACAATACCATTTTACCCTAATATTTGATTATAATGCAATAAAACGTGTGGGGGGAGAACCAGGCTTTCAATAAACATATGAATTATTGAAAATTAATCTCCTTTTCTGACGCAGCATTGATGTGCACAGGGGTAACGTAGCCCGATTTTTGTTAAGCTGCTTTACATTTTAATTTGTACAAAAATACTATTTTGAATAAAATGTGCATGAGTTTCAGTGGCAAAAAATAATCCCATTAATGCCACGTCAGGAATAGCTAGCTATTGATTAATTTTCTATGCAGATACTGTCAGAGATGATAATTCCTCGTAATTGCTAATTAAGAAATTCTTGTTCGAAATAATACACATGAATTTTGCGAAAAATTGATTCAATGTATTTTAGCCATATCATGCATCCGGGGAAAAATAAATGCTAGTGTCTAATTTTTCGGTTGATAAAACTTCTTCTTAGATATTTTCATATTCCAATAAGCAACTTACGCACATAGAACTAAAACTCATTGTCAACCCAATTCACTGAACTGATTTTCTTCTGCAGAAAATAGAAGATAATAAACAAAACATTTCTGGTATTCGTGATGGATACTTCACCCTACCCTTATATTATCTGTTAGAAAGTTTATATAATAAAACTCAACTCTTTGACTGTAATTTTTATAATTACGTATACAAAGTTAAACTAGTAGCATGAACAAGAAGTCTATTATTTTATTTATTTATTTTTTTTTTTTTTACATCTCCCTCACCCTCCTTTCCCTAAAACAGAATTATTGACATCATGCTAAAAAAATAACATTCTAATTTTTCATTTTCCTTTCTGGAACCCCTTTGCTCGTTTAAACGTCTATTGAAATATATCGTAGCGTCAGGGTAGCGACTACGACGAGGAGTAGTTTTGGGGTATCTTGTGGGGATAATATTGCTTGAAATATCAATAACATTAATGAATTCAATAATCCATTTGTGAGTAAAATGAACGATCCCCTTACTAAGTTACGTCCGTTCGTAAGATGTCGATATTTCTCAATTAGGAGAACACCTGTAGTGATCTTTGTTACAATTAGACCAGCTAAACTATATCTGCTTATGAATTTACGTTGGAATGTATTTTCTTATAACAAATAAACTATTTTTGGTTTTTACATAAATTATTGACCCAAACAAGGTAACTCTAGAAAAGAATTATACTCACTATTTTTGTCAAATCTTCGTAAAAATACACCAGTTGTCCACTTTCGTTTTATAAATTCTATCAAAGTTCCGGGTTCTATTTATAGTATGGTATCTAAGGTATACACAGGTGATTTAAATTGACAATTTAATCTAAAGTTAGGTCAAAAGTATTGTTCCCTATAACTTTTAGCTCACCTGAACAAAGCTCAAGTAAGCTTTTCTGATCACCCGTTGTTCCGCTTCTGTCCTTCCGTCTGTATGTCTGCCCGTTTGTAAACGTTGCACATTTTCGACTTCTCAAAAACTGCTGGGTGAATTTTAGCAAAAGTTGGCACAATCCATCTTTAGGTAATGGGGATTTTCAATTAGTCAAAGGAAGTGCCAAGTTCTATTCCAACGGGAGATAATAAAAAAGGCAAAAAGGGGTTGGGTAATCAAAAAATCTTAAGATCCACTGGGCCAGAAGAGATGAAACTTGTGTGAAACCTTCATAAGGTTGTGTGCATTATGTGTTGTTCAAATCATGGCCCCAAGAAATAACCCGAACAAAAATATACATGTACTATGTTTAATTATAGTTAACTATAGTTTACTATAGTAAATCAAAGTTCCAAAGTTTTCGCCATAGTAAATCAAGGTTACAAAGTTTTCAGCATAGTAAATCAAAGTTTCAAAGTTTTCACTATAGTAAATCAAAGTTCCAAAGTTTTTGCCGTAGGAAATCAAAGATTTAAAATTTTCACTATAGTAAATATTTCACTATATTTTCACTATAATAAAAAAGTTTTAACTATTGATAAT